ATCAAACCACCTTTCCCATAATCCCCAGGCAAGGCAATTTGACGAGTGTTTCCAGAAAAAAGCTGCTTTTCCGCTGGATCACTCCATGCAGCTGTAGCAGTAGCAGCTATTAAAGCTTCGGTTCCTGCTTTAGTTTAGGGAGATGCCTGCTGCTATTTTTGGGGGGAGTTGGGGAAGCAACGTGCCAAGACAGCTGTCAGAGACTATCTGAGTGTCCAGTGACAGATGTGAGCAGCTGAAGGTCCACCAGCACTTAACGCTCTACTTTGCTGTTCTCTTCAGTCCTGCTTATATGCAGGTTTCCAAGTTGCTTCTGTTGGTTCTGCAATCACTGTTGTATAATGACAGGAAGAGGAACACTAAGTACATTCTTTGGTTAATAGTTCATCAAAACTCCAGATTGTGGTACCTGTGTTCTTCAATCCAATGGGTGCACTGGATCTCTAACATTTTACTCGTATCCTATACCTGAATTTCAGGGACCTTTAAGTAGTGTAACAAAGATCCTACCTGGAACTTGAGATTTGAAGGCTGGGAAAAAAAACTGGGTTAAAGCCAAAAGAGAGATCAAAGTTCCTGGATGGAATTTGAAACATTTACATTGCAAGCTTTAAGCTGCAAAGGCAGAGGTTTTGGGGGGTGGCTGGGCTCAGCAGCTGATTGGAAGGCTGCCGCTGAGAAACCTGTGACTTGAGCAAGTCCCTTAACTATCAAAAAACAAATGCTCCAGGGACACTGGATAAATGGCTGAGCCTGCAGTCAAACTCCAAGCTGCGCTCTCCCCTGTCTGTGTCTGTATGTCTCAAAGGAGAGCAAGACGGGATATGCGAACAGCAGCATTCCAGTGTACCAGTACTCATACTTTTACAAAGCATCTCATTTAGATATAAGAAATGAAGAAAGGACAAATTCAATTCTTTTTTCCTGTTCCCTGTTTAAACTTGTTCTCATCACATCTACAAAGTGGACACTTTCCCAAGCTCAGGATCAGTTCAGTTCAGCTTGTGATGGACTAGGACAGCATCCATATGGATTTTGAATGGGGCGTGTCCAGTTGCATTACCGCGGGAGGACCTTGTCTGCTATTTTGTTCATGTAGATGATATTACTGATGAAAGACCATGTCCTCTCTATTACATTCCTAATGAAGGGCTAGGTTCACTCCCTGCGTAATTTCGAATACTTACAGATGAAGGACTGTGTCCTCTTCCTCATTATGATTTTTACTTAAGAAGGGTCCTCTTCCTCATTAATTTAGATTATGTTACCGATGAAGGACTGTGTCCTCCTCCTCGTTAATTTGGATTATATTACTGATGAAGGACTGTGTCCTCTTTGTCGTTAATTTAAGTAACATTGCTCTTTGTACTTAATAATGACAATGATTAATAATGACAATGATGAAGGACCATATCCTCTCGTCATTAATTATGATTTTTACTTAAGAAGGGTAATTTTCCTCATTAATTTAGATAACATTACTGATAAAGGACAGTGTCCTCTTCCTCAATAATTTAGATTATGTTACCGATGAAGGACAGTGTCCTCTTCCTCATTAATTTAGATTATGTTACTGATAAAGGACAGCGTCCTCTTCCTCACCTGTTTAGATTATGTTACAGATAAAGGACAGTGTCCTCTTCCTCACTTGTTTAGATTATGTTACTGATGAAGGACAGTGTCCTCTTCCTCACCTGTTTAGATTATGTTACAGATAAAGGACAGCGTCCTCTTCCTCACCTGTTTAGATTATGTTACAGATAAAGGACAGTGTCCTCTTCCTCACTTGTTTAGATTATGTTACTGATGAAGGACAGTGTCCTCTTCCTTACTTGTTTAGATTACGTTACTGATGAAGGACAGTGTCCTATTCCTCATTAATTTAGATTATGTTACAGATAAAGGACAGTGTCCTCTTCCTCAGTTGTTTAGATTACGTTACTGATGAAGGACAGTGTCCACTTTCTTGTTTATGCACATCACATTACTGATGATGTGCCACGGAGGACTTTATTGTGCCAGTCGCTGGGTCTGTCCCTGTCCTCACATTGCCCCAGTGCTTCTTTTTAGCCCCTGCCACTCCCTCCCCCCCCTTAACTACGCCGGTCCCCCACTGTCATTCAGCACACAGGCAGCCTGGAGCTTTGCTCTCGTGCCTCATGTTGCTGGGCGGGATTTTTGTGTGTGCGTTCACGCGCACACTCACACACATGGCACCGTGCTGGAGGCTGGAGACGGCAGAGCCGCTCAGGAAGGTTTGCAGCGGCAGCAGCTGCTGGAACGACTCGCTGACTGGGGCTTGGCGCCGCTCGCGTTTCCACAGCTGAACACGCCGGTGAGCAGAAGAGGCGGCTTGTCTTTGTGCCGTACGAGTGCCGTGGTCCGTTTGCCTGACTTTGAATTAATGCTTGGGTTTCCGTCGTTTCTGCATGTGCTGTCAATGATCCTTCCAATTTAAACATACTTGTTTTTGCTTCTCATGTAAGTGGTGTCTTGCAGCTAAATGTAAAGAATAATTCTGTTATTACTTATATGAAGTTTAAGTTCATTGCTTATTTCTTCTGCAGTGTATGTCTTTGATTTCAGTTCATTCAGGTTTTATTTTACCCTTCCTGATTTTCATTTGGATGTTTATTGATTTAAAGGTACTGATGAGGTCTAATGACAGAAAAACAAATTTTGCTGCTCATTCTAGCCAATAAACTCGCCTTGCCAAATGCTTTGTAATTTTTCTTAATTGTAATGTAAGGATCCATTGGCATTACTGGTAAATACTTTTCTCTTAAATCTAGGATGTCACAGCAGCCTTAATCCGCTATACTTGCTTCCGTGGTGTGTGGGTTTGTGAGCTTTGTTCACTGTGCGACAGTCACCGCTAGTCTTCAGTTGTCCCGGCTATGCGCTCAGCGGAGATGTCGCCCCTTCTGTTTTCCTGGGATGGGTCTGGGCTCCAGTTGGCCACCATTCGCTGTTTTTTGAGCTTGGACTCAAGCCAGAGAGCCGACGATGACTGACAGCAGGAGCCGCACGGATCTCAGAGGGTCTCTTTCATAGTGGTAGCGTCGGTGGTGATGTACGCTTTCCAGAACGTGCCAGGGAGCGTGAAAGTGTGCATGCGTGTGCACATGTGAGTGCGAGACAGTCACTTCCAGCTCTGTGGCACCTCCATCAAAACAGCCACAGAGACAGACGCTATGATCAAAAGCTCTTGCATAACCTCGAAGGGACCATGTGATTCATCCTCACCTTTTAGAAATGGCTCGCTGTTTATAATCCTCTTCACCTCAACACCATCTTCGTGTTTTCTGAGTGTGCGAGCTCCTCGGAGAGAAGTTGGGGGTGTTCCAGAATACCTATTGACCCCACCTCAGATACCTCCTACTAGGGACAATATTTGTGCATTAATTTTAGGAAATGGGACTTGATGGATTTCTTGTACTGGTACATTTTGCATTTTATTAAGGACAGGTCTAAAGGACGTTTAATTAACAACCTGTCAGCATCAGTGCTGGTAACCTGTTTGTAAGACCTGCCATAATTCAGCCCATGTTTCCAGGAATGGCTGTGAAGCTTGGTCCATTTAATGGTTAACCAGAAGGGATGGGAGGGCTTCCTGGGATGACAGAGCGAGTGTTCCCACTCCATTAGCTGCCCATTCAGGCTGTGGAAGCTGCCCAGGGAGGAGTTTCCTTGAGAGCGGCCCATAACCGTGCGCTTTGCTGTGTGGATGGCCCAGCCAATCTACCGGCACGTGGGAACCTCACACGTTTCATTGCAGCCAACATATACTATCGCCTCTGGTGCTTGGTTGTGTTTTGAATGCTATGTTTAAACAAACCATGCAGAGTACAAAATAGTGCCAATGATTCGGGGAACCAGTGGGTGTACCAAGATGTGGGCTCTTATTTTTCTGTTTGTGTATATTTCTGTACCCAATAGGACAACAAAAGCAAAAAGATAAAACAGAAAAGGAACAAATATTAAGTACTCCTACTGTAAAAAGTGGTAGGCACTTACTGCCCTGCCTTAGTTAGTCGTACACCATCCAGAAACTGTGAACGGGGAAATTTATTATTAAAATCAAGTAAAATATTTTCATATGAAAATCTTATATGAATTAATGATATTTCTAGAATGTTCAGTATTTTTCTCTTATAGAATTAATTTAGATTATGAATAATAATAATAGAATAATAATAATTGAAATGCATTTGCACGTTGTGGCTTGTTCTGATTGTCTTATAAGTACGCATCTAAACTGATGTGAAGCATAGCCTTTGATACCCGTCCCTTTTGCTTTATTCTGCTCCAGTAGTCTCTAGGGTCCCCTGTGAACCTACTCGGGATATGAGATTGGATGATGAATGGATGAACCGTTGAATGGTATTAGACTTTATCTTCAGCTGTCTTTTGTTCTACTGTAATATCCCTTAGATTATATCTTGCGTGCAGTACGTACTTTCTGTTCTCCAACTAAAAATATACTGGTGCCTTTGCCAAGCTTTTGTTATTGGGTTGGGTGCTGTTGTCCCTGCTGTTTACGGTGTTGTTCTTATCCTGAAAAGCCTTAGTAGCCTTAGTTGTGGTGAGAGCCTGACTTGTGGTGCCTGGGTAACACTGAACACGGCCCCTTTCCATTTAGCGATCAAGCTGAGGGTTTTTTCGGCCCAAAACATCATGTACAGACATGAAATATCCACCGCAGTGATTTATTCTGGAGTTGAGTGGCACATGATTTATCTCAGGAATCTTCTCAAGTGCTCAGAATGCTACCTGTTTCCTTTAAGTGAATAGTAGAATAGTTTGACCTTCGCCACAAAAACTATGATCAAGAAAGACCACAACCCCCACCCCCCCCAGCATGGTATCAATCCACTCAGGTCTGTTTTTTTTCCCTTATTATTGCCCAGTTCCGCATCCGCCCCTGCCCTGGGGTGTCTTTCTGAAGGTCATTGTGACTGCCGTTGACCTGTGGTCTCTCTTTTTAATCTCTCCTGCAGAGTACGGACGCTTTGAAGCCAAGATCCATGACCTACGGGAGCAGATGATGAACCACAGCATGAGCTCCGGGTCGGGTTCTCTGCGAACCAACCAGAAGCGCTCGCTTTACGTCAGGTAAGGTGCTGCTCGACATGTTCAGTATCTCCAAAGGGCTGCCAGCACAGAAACAATTCAAGGCCTGACTCTTGTGTTTCTGACATGATCACGACTTTGCTTCTCTTTAGTTCAAGCTGTTGGTGGTCAACATTTGGGTTTGATGGGGCTCAAGTGTCTGCTGAGGCAGGCTAACTTTTCTCAGAGTTGGGTAGCTCAGGATCTTCGTTGTCAGCAAGGATCTGTTCAATATGTGGAAGTTCTTGGGGGGGGTGTGCAAGCAGGCACACATACACACACTTCCCACCCCAGCTGAGCCTCTGGTTCTCTTCACTCATCTGTCACCAGTGTGTCCTTCCATGCCTTTGTTAATCTCGACCCTCTCGGTTTTCCGGATGGGCCGGAACAGCATGTTCTACCAAGAGCTCTCCATAATAAACGCCTGGCTAAAAGCCCTCAAAAATTGTCCCGCGAATGTGTGATGACACCAGTATATTTGTGCCTGGTTCCTCTTCCTCCAAAAAGACACAAAAGCACATGCTTTGACCTGCTGTCCTGAAGATTCCAAATGTCTTCTCAATTAAACTGCTTCCGGAGGCAGCAGCAGACAATATGTTTGTACACAAGGAGAACTTCATCAGTGCATAAGCCATTGTGGTATATGGGGAACAGCCACAGGCTAATTAATACGAAATACCTTCGCAGTATTGCGTTATGAGGAAGGCTTTCTTATAGAAAAACAACTGTGCCTCATTTGCAAAGTAAATATTGTACTTCATTTCTATAAATAGTTTGTCATGGTTAGCTGTTGATTTTTGGTGATGCTTTACGTGTGCCCCTTCGTCATGTATGTACATCGCCTTGACATTACTAAACAGCATTTAAGTGTTTTCCTTAACATTCTTTAAAGCATTGCATTATAACACTTTCAATGAAGACATGACAGCTTTAATATGTTTAATATGTTAATATACATGTTGCTACTTAATGTTCTATGAATTCATGATAAATGCATTTTGAAAGAGTGCTTAATGTGAATCGTCACCCTATTTTAATTTATTAAAAGTAGTTTATTAATTGTTCCCATATTTATTTAAGGTATGATACTATTTATATAGAATGTCCTATGTATGTTTATTCACTGTGTTTGGATGTTAAATCCCATAATATTTTATAGGTCAGCCACTGACCATGCCATGCATAAATAATATCTCATTTTGCAGTTTTTATTGGAAATCTTGCTAATCCTGCATCCATAAAACCTGGGGTTGTTTATTTGAGATACTGACATTCGTCCAGATGTGTAGTGAACAGCATTTAATACCTTTGCGTTATGTAACACTACATAATGTTTTATATAATACCGTCAGCTTTTTGGAGGGAAATGTATATAATATTTAATTGTTTTTAATGTCTTTGTCTCCTCACTCAAACGTCTTTCGGTGTCCTAAAGATGAGTGCACTGGTCCACACGCATCGTTGAATAAAAATAATATAATCTAGCCATCTCTTAGTCATCTTCTACAACTTGAATTATGAAGAGCCCCAAGGGGTCTGACAGCTATCAATGGTCTAGGTTAGTGAGTTTACATTTGATGCATCTATTATTGCTTGTATTTCCGCAGAAGTGCAGGGCATGGATGTGTTTCAGCACCACGGACAGCAAACGCTCATTGACGCAAGTGTAGATCTCTGAGAACAGAACACAGTGGTTTTCCCAGCACCTCTTTTACAGTATTTGCAGAAGTTGTTATGCTAAGTATACCTTCTGTGATACTCTGGAGCTAGCCATGTCTAGCATCGATGCGTTCATATACAGAGCCAGCCTAAACGACAACACTGCTGTGATAATTGTCCCCATAAAAGCAGAATGCTACAGCAGCCATATTGTAGGCCATCTGCAGCAGTTATTTTGCAAATGCTAATATTTTCTGGGTCACTTGCAACAAGCGCAGTGACACATGGAATGTTGCCTCCCATGCCTTTCTGGCAAATTAATCCCGTCGGCGACTTTCAGTATACTCCAGTTCAGGTGCCTCGTGAAATTGGAGGGCCGTCATTAATGGCCCATTAGTTTGAGAAAAACACAAATGGTCCGTGGCATATTTTCTACTTCTTTACACTAGGAGAAGCTGACAATTTGGCAGACATGCCTTTCAGTAAGAGTCCACGGTGGTGAAGCTAAGATCTCTGCAATGGAAACCAGAAGCAGATGTTTTCCCAAGCACAAATTATGCTGATTCGTTCAGCATTTGGCTTATAGTTGCACACTGTTCACAGATCAGCTAGTGCTCTGCTCTGCACTAGTTGTTCCAGATCTCTGTTTACCTAAGCTGCGGTGCTTGAGATTGACAGATGGGTGCCAGTAGCACAGAGAGTTGTGGTTCTTGGTTCAGATATAATAGGGAGAAAAATGCTCAAAAGGCAAAATATGCAGTCATTGTAGTAGCACGGCTATATATTTTCTTAATTTTTTTGGCAGCTAATACACCTACAAATCTATGCTGAACTAATCCTGATTAACAATAATCCTGGCACCAAAAATGACAACATCTTTGCTTGCTGAATGCACTGTAAAGTAATATTAACGGACTTGTGCCTTTCAAACAAAGCACATCACCGGTAATCCATGAATTTAATTCTTGCGTGTAGAACATGAATTCTTTCAAAGTGAGCCACCACATCATGCCTCGCCCAGCTTTCCATGGCGATCTTCACAGATGCAGAGTGAGGTCAGAGGAGGATTTGCTGCACTTACTGATGCTAACCCTTTTCTGTGAACCAGCACACTTACTTTTGTGAACATGGGTGGGGGGGAAGAACTCAAGCATAAACCAAGTTCGAAACATGAATCACCATATTCTAGTTTTTGAGTCTTTAGAGACGAGTCCAGGTGCACAGATTCAAAAATATCTCGCCGATCTTTTGTGTTGTCTTTTAAATACAGTCCCAAAGATTATAACTTGTCATGAGGTTTGACATGTAATTTTTTATTAAGATTGCATGATTGTATTGCACAGAATGGAATTACAGTGCAGGCCAGCAGAGGAAGGTGGGATCTGAACCTGAGGAAGGTGACTCAACACCTCAGATGTGCACAGATAGATGTGCCTGGAACCTCCTCTCCCACGATGCCCTGTCTCTGCCGGCACACTTCCTGCCTCTCCGTTCTCAAGCGTCCTAATGGTTCCGCCGGTTTTGCCGATACTGGGTAACCCTGACAAACGCAGGCGTTGTTCGGCATTTAAATTTTTTTTTTGACAGTACTGTGGTAGATGCTGCCGTTATTTCACCGAATGTATGACCATGGGTGGAGCTCAATTAGACTGACTCGTGAACTCGGGTGACACTTTTTTTTCCCCATGCTCCTCTGTGATTTCAGCCGCCGTCCAAGCTCTCTCCATCTGAAAGCCGGCGATCTGACACCAGACATTATTAGTAGCACCTAAAAAACTATTGAAATGCTTCCCGTTGAAACATATTTTCAGTGTTTCAAGTCCACGGTTGCCTTGGGTGTGAGAGCATACCTTTTCACTGTCAGCAACTGTGGATAGTTTTAAGAAATCACTTTTGATTGGAGCATTCAGACGTCAAGCCAAAGATATAAGGAAAATCTGATGAGGTTCTTTTTGACATTTAAATCATACACTGTTTGGTTCCAGTTCTTGGAAGTTTATTTTCCCAGTCTGCACATGCTCAGGTCTAAAAAATGCTGAAAAAAACGTCGATTTTAAGGATCAGAAGTCGAATTAATTAATATCATTTGTGGGAAAATTGTGATGGTAATTATTGCAATATTTATCACAGCTGATTCTTACTTAAAAATTGCATTAACATAAACAACAGCAGATGTAAATTTGTGTGTTTGAAGGCTGATATGAGGCCTGGATGATTATTCAGTCCTTATGGACATCTTCCTGTTGTCTGTTCCCGCTGCTATTTTTAGGCGCAGCCTCGCGGTGGAGAATGTGCTTGTATCACCGCCTCAGTCCGGCGAGCTGTCAGGTATCATTTGGATAGCATCAGTCATGCCAGAGAGTCCGTCCCCAGCTGTCAGCCCCCACCATTAGCCAACGCGGTCTTTCGTTACATCAGTCCGGACCCGTGTTGCACACCTTGGGCCGGCGCCAGCGATGGCCTGGAACAAACCCAATTATCATGTTCGTTTCCCGAAGATTGGCCTGAATTAGCCACCAGTCATCTCCATTCGCAGGCAAGTTAAACTGAAATCGAAGGGCAGGTCCTACATTAACAATATCTATCCGCTAGAAGCATCTCATCAGGTTTGAGGAACCTCAGCTGGACATGCATATCATGATTATATCTGCCTGTTGTTTGTCCGCCGGAGGTTGTTGGTCCAGCGGGATGAGATTAACTGGTAACCCAAGATCCAGATGCAGTTGGTCACACCAGATAAGCTCCAATGCTTTGGTGTAGAGGTACAGATTGATGTAGAAAGCAAGTCCCGACATCAGGAACCAGCTGCTCAGATCCTGTGATCCCATCTAACGCTCTTTTTTTGCATGAATGGGTATCTCTCCATGTTTACATTATGATTTACCAGAGAAGTGTTAACAGCAGATCAGTAATCGTACCCAGATCTATGTGCTTCCAGGCTGCCAGATGTCTCCGAGATTTATACTGACTCCATGGCTCAACTCAAGAGCCAAACACACACAGGGTGCAGGAGCATGCTTTTGCCAGACCAATATTGTGTCAGCCTGAGTCTCTAAAAGCAAGCTCTTTGGAGAGGGCTGACAAAGGTCTTACATCGAATTATCTGATTCCATAATTGTTATGAAAAGAACAATACGCATCTTTAACTGTTCAGATCATAGACTGGTTTTTCAGAGTTTGACACGTACTGCAACAGATAGTCTTCAGAATAACTGGCATTAAAAAATCAGCACTGTGATTGTATTTCTCAAGTGCCACAGCTGGTTATAGTTTACAGTGAAATCCACTGCAGTTAGCAGTCACTTCCTGGACTCAAATTATCTTCAGGAATAATGTTACAGATG